AAAATACTTCTTTTACTCTTTAAGCAACTGTGCTTCCTAACTCTTGTGTTGCTCCAGTTTTAACACTGTTGTGGGTCATAACATAAAGCAAAGCAAAGCAATTTTCGAGGATTAATTTCCATCGATGTTCATGCTTTGGCTAATCTGTATAAAAGCATGGGCTGTTAGTGTTCTAAAAATCACTGTATTCAGCTAGAGACTTGACAGTAAATTAAATGAGACGTTTTTATAAATAAATTTTTTTCCTGATTTAAAAAAGACGTGGTAGCTTTGTGCATACAACTGTTGTGTTGTTTAAACTTTGTTCTTTGTAACCAAGTTGCTAATTTGTCATTTGAGAAACACTATTTTATGGATTGTCAAACTAAAATCATAGACAAATTGCTTGTTTTCATTAATGATTAAAGGTTTCATATCATCACGCTTCAGGTCCCAGTGCTCATTGGGAAAGAGTGTAACAACTGTGCAATACTGGCAGTACTAGAAAGTGCACTAGAACTTTTGTCCTCAGGAATGACAATTCTGCACATGATTAGAGGGATCCAGACTGTGTCATTAGCATGGCAAGCAGTATTTTCTGCTTTTTTTCTTTTAACAAAGCTGCTCCTGAAGTACTTTTCACACAGCACAGAAGAGACAGAATTTGTCCTCTTGCTACAAGAAGCCACTGCTTTGTATATCTCTCATGTGTTTCCTATGCTTATTTTAAGCTCAGATATTTGGGAAAAGAACATAACTGAGTACTGCACATGGCACTGTTAAAGCTTTTCATTTTTTCCTATTCCCAGCAGCAGTGTCCAGTGACAGGGCTTCCCAGGAGCACCCTTCACCAGTCAGGAAAAGAGGCCAGCAGCTGGGAGGTGCATTACAATTTCCATCATTAAAAAGGAGGAATGGAGTACTGGCCCACAGCCTTTCCCATCCTGCCCTGAAATACCTCATGCACCATTCACCTCCCTTTGGATCTGCTGAAGCACTATAGAAACAGCCTCAAGTTTTCTGTTCACACAGAAAGATGGGCTGGCTCCAAGTTGTTGCTGCATGCAGCACTTTTGCAGCGTTCTTGCCACCTCTCCTTTTTAGGGCCTTGGTAGTCCTTTCAAATGTACCACTTTATGCTGCGCAACAGTGTGAGTAGCATCCTTAGTGATATGAGCCTAATTCTACAAACAGCATCGTCACTCTAAAATACACACGTCTTCATACTTACCTTGGGGTTCCCTTCATGGCCCTCGCTGGGTAACTGTGCAGTATAACGTTCTTGTTTGCATTGAAAAATAGGGTGCAAAGAGCAGCAATGGATCTGGGTCTTGATTCAAAGCCAGGAACTGTGATATATCCAAGATGTGCATATAGACCTGGAAAGCATAGAAGTTAACAGCTTTTTCAGTAAGATGCAGAAAAAGGGCAGTCTACAGAGAAAGATTTCAGAATGCTTCATTGCGCCCCAGCAAGCAGGAAGCATGACTCAGTGTTCAATTAGCTATTCCAAATCCTAGGCTGCTTTCAACCCGATAAAATTCTATGTATGTTATTACTTCTCAAAATGTAAGTTCTTACTCTTCAAGAAGGTGCTGAAGCTGCTTTTGCAGTGAGGACATCCGTATCTTTCATTTCCTAAATAGCAAGCACTGGCTAGTAAATGGAGAAGGGAAAAAAGGGGAGAGAAAAAAAACCCACACATTATTGCAGCTCAACACAAAGCATGTCAGGACTTTGGTGTCCCAGTGAAGCTGCTAGGCAAAGCTCTGACTTGGCTAGGACGGAACTAAGATTTAAACTAGTTCAGGGGCACATGTGTGTGTTTGGGGGGGATAAGGAGTAAAATGAAGATGTAGATATAGCAAGAAAAAAGGAAATATTTTGAGAGCATTTTGCCAAAAATAACAAAGAAAGAAATATGTTAAGATCTAGGCTGAGTATTGATTTTAATTTAATGATTTTAGCTAGAAAAGATTTCTGAATGGCAAGAAAATGTTCCTGAATAGCTTTGACATACAGAACAGGAAAACAAAACACAAGAAGGTATATCTGGAGGAAAAAAAAAAAAAAAGGAATACTATCCTAGACAGAAAATTAAACCATTCATGCCCAAAAGCAGATTAAAAAACCCCATGCACCTGACAGAAAAAGGTCACTCCCACACAACTGTGAGCTACCATCTGAAAAATAATACAACTTCTGCAGCTTTCACATCATCCATTTGTTATCAGAGTTCTGGCTAACAGCTCAAATGAAGTCAAGTCTTGTGCCTCTTTAGAAGAAAAAAAAAAAAAGGTAAAAACATTGCCTGGAATAGCCAACAAAAGAAAACAAAAACAGACACATTCAGCCACATAACATGCCCCACTACTGACAGGCAGAGCACTTTCTATTGTCAGATAAAACTGTGGGCCCCAAAGTGTGTATTTATAGCTGTCAGAGCTCCTGGGAAGCTAACAGCACAACCAGCAAGGCTGCCACCAATGTAGGCACCTGCTAAGTGCTAAAGCCTCGCTGGGCTGCATGAACTGGTTACTTCTGTGGAGGCACAGGATACAGCCACAGAACATGCACTGAACCTCCCACCTGAGGCAGGCAGCAATAGAAGTTGCCCTGTTGGGTAGTTAGGCTTTTTTTTGTCTTTAAAAAAAAAAATATATATATATATATATATATGTATGTATGTATATATATATGTATATATATATGTATATATTTTTTTTATTATTATTATTTTAGTTTTTGCATAGCCTCAATCTCTGATGAATGTATTTCAGCACAAGCTACATACTTGGAACACTTGTTGTCTCTTCTCAGCTAAACGTTGCGTTTATCAGACAAGAAAGTTACATACTCAAAAATTGAATCATTTTATAATGGCAGAACCTTTACAAAGAAGACAACAACAGGCTAAACTAGATCAGAGGAGTTGTTAAGTTCAAAGTACAAGAGAGGAGAGGGATTTGAACACAGGTCTCTTATAACCACCATAAGTACTGTAACCACCAATGAATTAACCAAGATGTTAGTGCCTCAGTATATTCTTGGAAGGAAAGACCTGGTCTAAATGTCTACACAAGGGAATAACTTGCATTTCTTTTCCCAGCAAAAAAAAAAAAAAAAGTCAGGGTAGTTCTAGGGAAAGTGATGAAAAGAAGATTAAATGAAGACAAACTGCTTCACAGCAGGAAATTTGGCCCAAAGACACTTCTTAGGGATAGAAGAAGATATTGCTTCTCTTGTCATTGGTTCCAGGAAATAACACAATATTGATTGAATTGCAAAGTTTCTGCATCAGTGCAGTATGCCGTCGCCCTGCAGACAAGCATATGTCTCAAGACAGTAACTGAAATGAAAGAGAACTGTCATATTCATCTGATGTTATCTTATGAAAGGGAATTTCTGAAGCAATTTCTGTTTTTTGAGACAGCTACAGTGAGATATCTACTGGCTGAATGTCTGATTTCTTACTGTAAAAGTTCCTTATTATAAGATAAAAAAGTACGTGTACGGTTTGAAAATACCTGAGTAATCTAAATTTTCCTAAGAGCCGTTTTTAGCTTAGTGCTTCTAAGATGACAGAATGCAGGGAATTTTAATTACAGTGGCTTGTAATAAGCAAAATTTGACTCAGCTCAAACTGAGTTTATTGACAGGAGGACTGACCAAATTAACACTGATGCTTTTTTTACACAGTACTTCTGTTTCTGAAGCAAATTTTAAAATTAGATGCTTCCAAGGAAGAATTACAGTCATTAACAAATGACAACATCGTTTTCCATTAGGTCTGTTGTTTTATTTTGTTTTATGATCACTTCTGTGCTCTACTGTACCAAATACAGAAGTGGTTGTGAGAAGAGGGTTAAGCCACAACAGCAATTTATCTCCTGTGTGGTGGGAAAGAAGTTAGCACACAGATTACTACCACCTGTGCACTTAGCAGAGAACATTTAACTACCAGTAAGTACTTATAACTACCACAGGCTGAGCCTGTGGGTACTAACAGCTCCTGAAGGCAGTGGTATTGGAAATTGCATTGCAAACACATGCACATTCATTTTGCCCCATGAAGTCATTTATCTGTTTCAAAATCACAGGGCTGCAGAACAGCTCTTAAGCTATGCCTTTCACTAATGGACAACTAAGTGAGCATTACAAATTACTTGGTTAATAAACATCTTTGAGATTTGTTTTCTTTACTTAAAGACTTACCAGCTTAAGATTATTGTATTTGGGAAAAAAAAAAAAAAAATTAAGCTGTTCCTTCACAACCTTATTTTTTGATAGAAATCACAGGCTCACAGCATGGCTGAGCTTGTCAAGACCCTCCTGATCCATCTGGCCCAATTCCTCTCCCAGCAGGACCACCCAGAGCAGGCCCATGTCCAGGCAGTTGTTGAAGATCTCCAAGGGGACTCCAAACCCTCTGGGCAGCCAGTGCTTCATCCCCTAATTAAACCCTAAATTATTCATTTTTCCTATTTTTTCCAAAAGCCCTCTGCAAATTTGACATACTTTTATATTTTCAAAATAAAAAATATGCTTAATTTAAAAGATAAAAGGAGGAAATAAAACGAAAACCAGCCAAATGCAAGAGACACTCACCAAAATTCAAGGTAGTTGTTTCTCCTCCGTGTCACAGCTTTGTCACATCTTTTGGTTCTCAACTTTCACTTCATCTGTGTTTATCAGAACATAAATCAATTTTAGATGCTCTCCTTTATTATCTTAGTAAAACTTCCTGTATTTAAAGCTAAACAAGTGATCTTACCTCAGCAGTTTCCAGTGCGGTATCTTCTTCTCTGGTATTTTCTTACACTTTCGATATGTGGTTATGCAAGAAGTTGCATTGTGTTACTACCCCCCTGGTTCAAAGCATGTGAGGTATGCCATATTATGGCCATGTTAACCAAAAGATACTATAAAGAAAGGTCTTCAGTACTACCTACCACAGTGGAAAAGCTGTAGTTCAACATTTCTGAGTTTGGCACTTCCACACACAGAAAAATTGTGAGAGATCCTAAAAAAAACAAATATTTTATTGAAGGGGATAGGTCCATGGAGAGAAGAGAACTTATGAACTTTTCAGATGATAAATGCCTAAGATTTTTTTTCCTACCTACTCCACATGGGAAATCTCTGTAAACCGTCACTTCTGGTAGTCCAGTACTTCTATACACAACAGCCCAAGTCTCCATATATCTAATGTTAGCAGAAGCTAGGTTCTTCGCTTACTTACTAATCCCATTAAAATAGCTCTGGTAGGAAATCAGTTTTATTAATAAGAAAAGTACATTGAATACCATAAAACATTTGCATTATACAATTTTTACAGTAATACACCACTGTGGATCTACAAAGGTTGGAGCTTCTTTCTTTGTCTCTTTTGTATTACACAGTTGGCTCTTCACCATCTCTCAAGCCTCTTTAAATAAATATTTAACAAAAACGTCTCACTTCTAATAATGGAAATAACAGTGATGATCAGCCACACTGCAAAAATGCTACAACAAAGCCCCTTTCACCCGCCAGTCTTGAGACAGCAAATCCTGCAGTTCTTCTTCATCTTCGCTACCAATAGCCTCATCCTCTTTCTCTTGTGTTGCTCTTAATCTCATGGCTTCCTTGCATTTCTCCTTCATCAAATCCTGGCGGTTGCGCAGATGCTCAACGCGACGGTAACATTCACTGTTGATAAGTAAATCACTTATTAATATCTGTGGTCTTTTGCATATATTTTTTTTTTTTTAACTCTGATGGATCTGCTTCTCCAACTCTGAATATAGAAAAGCTTAGCAGTTTCCCACCAACTTTCCACTGGAGACATTCAGATCCCAGCTGGACGAGCCCATGTGCAACATGCTTTAAGGAACCTGCTTTAACAAGGGGTCAGTCTAGATGATCTTAGTTGTCCATTCCAACCTCAACCATTCTGTGTGTGTGGCAACTAAAAATGATAACGGATCTTCTGTGTATTAATGAAATAGAAACAGACCAAAGGAGGGGAGAGGTGTGGTAAATTCTCTAGCAATGAGAGGTAATCAAATTGCAATATGGCCACAAATTGGTTTAAGAATAACACAGAACCTCAGTCTTCTTCCACACATCACACGGCCATTCATTTTGGTATTTTAGAGGTCTCAGGACTAAAGACAAAAAGGCATCACAAGCATTCAGGTACTTTATCTTACTGAGCTTACTGAGGACTATACTAGAAATTCATGAAGTAAATGAAGTTACAGAGTTTCAGCTTTCTATTTACCTAGAAGTTCTCATCCTCAAAATACATTTTTATATCAATAATTCTGGCCAATTCAATAAGATACTTTGTTGAAAATCAAAGTATCAGCCTGATTTAAATCAATCTTTGTTTTTTTTTCATTCTTGTTTGCTTGGAAGAGTCAACAAGGAGAGATTGTTGTCTGAATCTTTCTTCCCCTTGTATATCCACAAAATGATAACTTACATTCAGCCAGAGCTCAATATTTTCCTCAGCCTTCAGATATGAGTGTTATATTGATTTGATGTTGAATTCAAATTTAACGTGAAACAGTCTGCAGTTAAAGGCAGTAAGAACACAAGCAGCCTTGAAGAATTTCAGGAAAAAAAATATTATGGTAACAAACTTGAAATTCCTTTGCACCAAAATTCATGTTTTTATCAGGTATTCTGAGACTAGAGGCAATCTTTCTTTCTCCTTTGAATATTTAGGCAATTACCAAAAGAAGATTAGAAGTTAAAAAAGGCTTGTAACTGTAGTCGAATTGTGATCCATTACTGCTGAAGAACAGTCTGATAGAGAAATTGATTTACTTACATCTGCTCATCTATTTCACCAATCTGACGATCCAGTCGTCCCTCTTCATCATCTTCTGCCACTATTGCTTCTGAAATCTAAACAAGTAAAGCTCTAAGAAAATTCACCCTAAACTCCAATGCTGTTCCTTTTTGGCATCTGTGTCTTCCCTTCCTTCCCTCTACCCAAATCAAGTATCTCATAACTGTCAACCTGCTATACATATACACCTTCACAAAGGACTCAAGGCATATACAGGGGAAGACTGATATGGTTTCATTACAAATTCAAATGTTTATTCTTAAAACTAAAATTCAAAAGTAGTTTGGTTGCTCTGGGGTTAACTTTTTGAATTTCTCCATACTCCACTATTTGAAACAGCAACAACAAACCACGTGCATTCAAAGCCAGAAGCTGGAATTGGAGCTATATCCCAGTACTTAGTTACACAAGCTTATTAAAAGTATTGGCTAAGTTTTTCCTCTAGATCCCAAAGTATTTCTAACATGTTATTTTTTTCAGCATTTACTTTCTCAAATCTGAATGTCTGGGAGATGCTATGCAGTCAATGGTCCACGCATAACTGAGAAGATTCCTTCTAAGATGAAGAATCATACGAATGGCTAATGCTAGTAAAATGTACCCACTACTGCTTTTGTATGAATATTTCCTCTGTTTATAGTGCTGAGCGCTTTAAAATGAGCAATGACAATTTTTTTGCACCACCTCCTTAGCACTTGATGTAGGAGTGATTATTTACAATAAAAATTTAAAAACTGGCAAATATTCAAGGGAAATGGTGAGAACATGATATATCCTTAACAATAGTTTCATATGGTGTAAAAGCAGAGAAAAACCTGTTCAGGAAGACTTGCCATGCAACGCTATACAGTAAAAAATGGAAGTCAAGAAAAACTGTGATCAACTTCCATCTCACACACACAAACTTTTCTGTCCCCTTCCCAAGTTTCGTGATTTCTTTGCAGTACACTTACGTTAACCATGAAACCAGGTTACAGACCCCTTATAGATCCTTTTCCAAAAAGACAAATGAGTGTGGCATTTTTTGTTACGCCTTGTTTGGATACAGAACATTGATTTGACATATAATATATTTTATTTAAATGCAATTTAATAAATGCAACTAAATATATGATTGACTGGTTCATCATCAGAATTTTTTTCAACTTGATGTTCCTTGAGTGGAAGAATCATTTGCTCATTTATAAAGTGCATTTAATCATACACTGCATTGCAGACAAACAGCTGACAAATGCATGTCAGTCACTTCACAGAGCTGCATGAAACTGTTTTTCTCCTTATTGTGTATAGAATTTAGAATCAATAAAAATAGACTCCATTACTTACTGTGTTGACCTGTCGCATTGCCTTTTGAAATTCATCCCATTCCTTGTCCATCTGATCCTTTGGAGCATCAACTTTTCGCACCTGAAGGACAAGAGAAGACAGGTTTAGTGATGATTACTGCCTAGGGAGCCACTGGAACACTCTAAAAAAAATGGAAAACCAGCACAGATTGGGCTGTGCTCTCAGACAAACAGGTCAGAAAATATATATATTAGTAAATGAAATAACTGATATTGTAGCACTACAGTTGTTTTGGAGGAAAAAATCTGACTCTATTCTTGGATTTAAACAAGAAGCTTGACTTCAGTATTACAGAATAATTGACTAAAAACGTATGGTGTGAGATATCTGGACTAACAAGAATGACTAATCCCATTGATTTAATGAACTGTAATTTTACTATGTCAATTGATAAGGATGAATTCTTCTCCTGTTGAGTCATACAATAGAACTATCACACAATTCAAAAAGTAGTAAGCTAATTGTTTTCAGCATAACACAAAATGTTAAGTCATTAGTGTTAGGACAGTCTGACCACATTGCAAATCTTACCTGATTTTACTGGCTAACAGAAGAAATAGATAGCTACATAGCACTTTTATTTAAAGTGAAGCTTTTTGTTCCATGGTAGACAGCATGGGACTGATAAAGTAGGTGCAAGAAATGCTTTAAGATTTACAAATAAGGTAATCAAAATCAGACTGTGCTTTTAAGTAAATTTGATAATCTACCTGCATAACCAGAACAGCTCAAGGTTAGAAGCTGTGGCATGCATTGTGTGTCAGAAGAGAGATTATTTTTGGCTCTGGACAAGAGGGAAATCGTATAGCTAGGAGAACTAAGCAGTTTGTACAGAAACACAACATTTTTTTTACATCAGCTTTTCTTGTCTTCTTTCCTCTTTTTGGTAACACAACAATCATCATCTCAGTAAAGAGGATGGTTTGCTATCTTTGGTTCTGAGTGCTTATACAAAATCCAGTAGCATGAATTAAGTTTGTAGAAGATATTAGAAGCTTCCAGGCAAACTACATATTGGGAAGTCATCGTTTCCTTTTTCTGTTTTGTGATTATTTTTATCATGTGTGTACGTACTGTGTTATTATGCATTGTGGTTGTCCTTTGTAATTCATAATTATTTGTATTTCTTACAATAAATTGAAATGCTAAAAGATATTATTTGTCAAACTCAGAATCTATATGCTTTGTAAGTTCCTGATGTAAAGAACCAGCATACTCCATGTCCACAACCCCCTCTCCAAAAAGCCTACCTTAATTCCAGAAATAATTATTTTGTAGATGACTTCAACACACAATCACTGCAGTCAACCCAATGTGATGTCACAAATGTTTTCCTTCCCTTTCATGTCAGCTAAACTTAGAAAGGGCTGATAAGAAGAACAGCTGTAAATCAATTTCAAGAAAGCCTAAAGGAACGTGTACCCGCTCATACATGTTATCAGTGAAGGAAATGACTAAGAAAAAGCTCATTAACAACCATCACTACATCTTCCCAGATATAAGCATACCCTCCTCTGCCTGATAGACATTCCCACTTTGTACAAGTTTCCCACCATGGTGCAACTTCCCATTTGAAAAATATAACACACCAGTCGTGTGTTACACCACAGATCTTTTTTAGCTCTTTATCTCAATACTCAAAAAGTCATTATTCAAACATATTTACTTCCACCGCAGAGCTGTGTGCATGAGTAGTGCTAAAAGAAACTTGCCACAATAAAGAGAAACCTAAGCTTGTGATTCTGCCAGTGGGACTAAATGAACATAGAGAAGCATTACTCACTGAATCATAGTCCAATTTAGATGAACCAACAGATAAACCACAGTGTGAACAAGGAAAATAAATGACATTTTGTGTCAAGAATGCTGTTGTTTTGATAGAAAGAACAAGAAAGCCATGGAATCTGTGTTAAATGACACAAAAAAACATTGCCACCAAAAAAAAAAAAAAAAAAGCTGATATTTCCAATAGCAGCACATATTTCAGTTATTGCTCAGTACTGCACAATGCTGAAGGAAGCCTGAATGAATGTGACCAAATTCCAAGATTTTAAATGGTGGCTTTTTGGAGAACGGCCACGTTATGAAAAAACCCACAGCAATAAAGGATGACAGTTGAAAACCACATTCACTGCTGTAGTCTGCCAGTACTAGAGATGATGCTGCTTGCCATAATCTAGCTGTTCCCATTCCAGGAGGCTGAATAATATCATTGCATAGTAACTCCTATGCTTTTCAATAGGGTCTCTCAGAGGAGAGGACAATGTATATAATTGAAAATTCAATTGCAATTGAAAATACATTCTGAAAGATATTTTGAAACCCTTTACACACCTTTTCATGCCTTTTAATTAACACAGAATGAAACTGCTTTTCTTATATACTGGTACAACTAATTACTGACAAACCATCCTCAGCATCCACAAAATTACTACAACCTACAGAAATAAATCAAATAGCAGAAAAAGATCTGCTTACTTACTTTTGCATCCACTTCAGGATCATCAAAGAACCCTTCTGGCAGAGCCTCAGCAGTGTTCTCTTTCCTGAAATGTTTGATTATGATTATTCCAAGTTAGCTCTTTATAATAATCTCTTTTATTGTGGAGTTATAAAACAGTCAAAAATAAAATCCTTAATTCTTACAGAAGGACCTAGAAATGAAGGAAGTCTTTTTTATGCCTAAGTTTTGCCTACAGGACTTGTTTCTTTGCTTTGGTCTTAACTAACTCTCAGGGGACTGCAGAGACAGGTTTTAAACTCACTGCTAAAACAGGAGCTGTAGCTTAGGATTCCCAAATTATCTGTTGGGGGAGTGCATACCCAGACATTTTAATACAAGTCTCTACTTTTGAAAGGCCAAACCAACATCTGAAAAAGTGTAGAAGAGAGCTGAAGCACTGCCACAAAACCAGTCAACAGTTTTCTTCAAACAGTTAAAATCAGACACTGAGCTTCAAATGCATCATCTATTAAAACTTGCAAATAAAGATGTCTGACACTGTATGACACTGCTCCTATCCCTAGTGTGCAACACACTTTCCTATGACATATATAGAAACTATACCAAATACAATTTAACAATATGACAAATTATAAAGTGATTGCAATCTGTATTTCCTGGAAGGGTAATGTTTATTAACAGCTGCCAAATTTTACAATATTTCATCTGACTGCTTACCGTTCTACTACCTTCTCTTGTGTCTCTGGTTTCTGTATGGATCCTGAATGTGAAACTACAGGAGCAGCCATAGTTTTGCTGTCAAAGAAGTCTAAAAGAAAGAATAGAAGCCTATGAGCAGAAAGAACTGTTTAAACTTCTGTACAAAACTCCGAGCAGACAGGAATTTAGATTAATACCTTACTGAATCAAGGGAAGGAAAGTTACACATTATTCTACTTGACAGACTCAAGCAATTACAACAAGAAGCAATAAACACGCTGAGAAAACACTGCACAGTAACAAACCACCAAAAAAAAAAAAATCTCCTTTCTCTCCCCCCAGTAGGATACACCAGCCAGCTAACAGAAATAATCAGAAAATTAAAGATCCTTTCCATCAATAGCTGTCATCATCAGGCAAACAGCAACATTGTTGTTGCTGTTGAAGTTCAACAAAGAAAAATACTGGCTGCTGCACCTGGGATGCAGTAATGCCAGACACAGGCACAGACTGCGAATGAGTGGCTGCAGAGCAGCTCAGCAGGAGGGAACCTGTGGGTGCTGATGCCAGTAGGTTGGGCATGAGCCAGCAGTGTGTCCTGGCAGCTAAGGGGCAAACCACATTATGAGGTGTGTGAAACGCAGCACAGCCAACTAAAGAGGTGATTTCACTGTATTTAGCATTGTTGCAGCTTCAGCTTGAACAGTGTGCAGGTTTCACAACATAAAAAGGATATTACAATATGAAAGCACCTGCAGAAGAGCAACAAAGCTGCTAGCAAAGCTGGAGGGTGTGTCCTGTGAAGGAGATTGAGGTGTCCAGTCTGGAAAGGTGGCTGAGAACAACCTCATCATTCCCTGCAGCACCCTGATGGGAAGCAGAGGTGCCAGGCTGTGACCTGGTCACTGATGGCAGGATGGGAATGGCATAAAGCTGCCAGTGCAGGGTCAGGCTGGGCATTAGGAAAACACCTTTATAATGAAGGTGGTCAAATACTGGAGCAGGCTTCCTAGAGCGGTGGCTGATGCCCCATGCCTGTCACCATTCAAGAGGCATTTGGAATATGCTTCAACTTTTGATTAGTCCTGAAGTGGTCCGGTAATTGGATTCAATGATGTTTGGAGGTCTCTTCCAAATAAACTATTCTACTCTACTCTTACGACACAGCTTCTTCTTACTGTACCACTTCATTCATCATTACCTGCAGGCAGAGAATTAGGTATTACTTCTCGAGTTGGAGGTGGAATTTCAGTTTTGTGCATAACGAAGGATCTGTTCGGTTGATCTTGTTTCTCTTCTTCTTCTTCATCATCATCATCATCATCATCATCATAATTTCCTGACAATAAACTGGGACCAGGACCTTTCAAAAACTGTTTGCTTCCTTTGCTTTGCTCTGCTTCATCAAAAAAATCTGCTGGTAGCCTAGTAGAGAATACACAGTGCAACAAAAATCAGTTTGACTCTAGCATCTGCAGTCTATTCAGTCTAAAAGACCAAGTTGTTCTCACATCCTGTACAATATGCTAAACCATGCAGCTACAGATGTATCCACTGTCTGAAGGTTACACAACCGTTGCTTTCTTCTGAAGTTCCCCAGGAATGCTGAGGTTATTGCTGAAAGATATTTCCATTATGTTTTTGTATTAGAACACTCAATACAAGAAACATTAATAGAAGTATCCTACAACAAAGTGAGCTTGGAGGAATGACTGCTTCAGTGATTCTACTTGTAGACTTAAACTTATCCGCATCTCTATATCTGCTATTAAATACAAAATTCATAGCCCAGCAGTCATACAAACATCACATAAACCTTGATATCCTTCACGTCTAACATTTTGTGTTCCTCTTGAAGCTCAGAAGTGCAGTTAAGTGCAGCTTAGAAGATCTGTGCAGGCTCAGCAATGAGAAAAGTCACCTTTGCTTAGGATAGCTACAAGTCTCCAAGTCAAATACTTTCCTCGGTTGTATTAAAAATGATCACGCTGATCAATCATCAGTAATCAACAAACCACTCAAATGACAATTTTACACACACACATGTAAAATTCCAGCAAGGTAAGCATATTTTAGAGTCAAGATAACACCACCTAATATCTGCACTAAATAACAGTTTACCCTGAGAAAATTTTACAGGAGATCTCATGTAGCATTTACCCACTCATACTGATGTCCAAACACCATTAAAAATCTTCCAAGGGAGTAAGATGCATAAATCCAATCCTTTGAATTCAAATACACCTGTTCCTTTGCAAGAGTTCAACTGCAAGATAAGTGTTTGCATAAACTTTAAGTAAAATTATCTTAATGAAGATGAGTCGATGATATTTGTTAATGGTTTTTGATACTAAATATTATTTAAAGATATACTAAAAGATTTTCCTTCGTTTCAGTCATCTCTTCAGCAGCATCATTAAAGACTGGAGTGCATACTGCAGTATAATTATTTTCATTACAGTAGACAGTGTAATAATAATACATATTAATGCTTACAAGTCTGATAGTGAGAGCAAAGAGACTTCTGTTTTGTCACAGACACTATTGTTAATACTATGTTTTTCCCATCTGCATAGAAGATGTTGCCTTATTTGGGAATATACACTTGCATTAGAAACTGAGCAGAAGCAGGAATTTGCTAATTGAATCATTACCCCTGGCTAGGAGAAACGGGGAAGAACAAGATGAGAAGGTTAAAAACCAACAGAGGTACAAACAAAACAGTACGTGATATAGTCTGCTTACCCAGATGAAGACGTAGATGTATGTGGCTTGTCATCTGTACCTGTAGAACAGCCAAGAGCCATTTCTTAGAACCCGTGCTTTCAAAGCAAACCTACTTTGCTAACTACAACTGCAAATTCAGAAAGTTACAGATTATCATTATCATTTATCAAGACTTGCAAATTAAATGCCCTTTATTACTATCAGTTCCAACCCTACGCACAGAATCATAGAATTGCTCAGGTTGGAAAAGACCTTAAAAGATCATCAAGTCCAACCACAACCTAACCATACTACCCTAACTCTAACAACCCTCCTCTAAATCATGTCCCTGAGCACCACATCCAAATGGTTTTTAAACACATCCAGGGATGATGACTCAACCACCTCCCCAGGGAGCCAATTACAGCACTTAACAACCCCTTCTGTAAAGAAGTTTTTCCTGATATCCAACCTAAACTTACCCTGGCACAACTTGAGGCCACTTCTCCTCATCCTGTCACCTGTCACCAGTGAGAAGAGACTAACCCTGCTCTCACTGTAAGCACCTTTTAGATATTGGAAGAGAGCAGTGAGGTCTCCCCTCAGCCTCCTCTTCCCCAGACTGGACAACCCCAGTTCCTTCAGTCTCTCCTCATAGGGCATTTTCTCCAAGGCCTTCACAAGCCTTGTTGTCCTTCTTCAGAACTGCTCCAGCACCTTTCTGTACTGAGGTGCCCAAAAGCGAAAAACACTCGTAAGGTTTTACCTTAAGTTTGTAGTGATTACTCTAGGCTCTTGCACTTACTTAAGCACAGGTTAATAGCTTGCCTTATTGTACTTAATGTAATACAAAATAGTGAAAACACTTCATGAATATGAATCACAATGAGTATTTTAACTCAATGGTGCAGAGAAAAGGAATAGAATAAGACACTTTTTCCCCTTTCAGCAGCAACAGGCTGACATTAACTCAAGTCATTGGCTCACACAGTACAGCAAAAGAAAACCTAGCACCGAACAAGTAAAACTGCAAGATTCTTGCAAGTACAAGTTTTCCCTCTTTACCTTTTGTTTTCTTTAAATGTGTGCTTTCTGCATCAGCAGTTTTTCTCTTGACAGGCTGAGGCGATGCACCAGCAGCTAAACCACTTGCTGCCTGCTTTGCTCCCTTTAATTCTGCAACTCGCTGCAAAGAAACACAACGTTTAAGAGGCTTTCCTACCAAGAACGTTTAGCCATCAGTTTAAAACGCGGTAATTTCAGAACGTAACGCTTCTGGTGACCTGTCACACGATGTGATGTGGGACCAGAGCAACACGGAACCTCACAGCCCACCCAGCGCCAACCCCTGCCGCGGGCAGGGCTGCCATCCAGCAGAGCTCCGGCTGCCCGGGGCCCGACCCAACGCGGCCTCCCATCGCCACCGGGGATGCGACGCCAGCGGCGGCCCCCCGTGCAGCCCTTCCCACCGCCGACCGGGGCGGCTGACGCCCGGCTCACCTCGCGGTGCTGCTTTCCCAGGACGTGAGTCTGCCACAGCAGCTCGTTCTTTACGGGCGCGCTGCACAACGTGCAGCTCAGGTGGCCCAGGCTGTTGTACGTGACGACGCCGTTAAGAAAAGATGCGGTGCTCTGCGTGAACCTCCCCCCGCCCTCAACGCTACCTTCTTTCCTCCCCCCCCGCCCCCCCCACGGGAATCGGGGCCGAGGGCCTTCCCCGCCCGGCCCGCCGAGGATATTTGGCGAAAGGCGATTCGATCCGCTTCTTGTCCGCGTTCTGCCGCTTCTTCTCCCGCATGAGACGCCGCAGCTCCTCCTGCCGCACCTGCTTCCGCCCCGCGCCCACTCCGGCCGCCGCCATCTTGTCCCAGCGAGCAGAGCGAGGCTGCGGCTCCGCCTTTTGTGGGCGGGCGATGGCCGCCCCCAGACTGGAGCTGGGGGAAGCGACGGGGATGGACGCCGCGGCCCCGCCCCGACGGGGACCATGGGAGAAGTGCCGCGTTGTGAGGCATAGCGCTCCGTAGCGCGAGTGGCTGCGAAAGTCAAAGGAAAGCCCTAACCTAGCAGCAAGGACGACTCTAGGTTCACAGTAACAGCAGTTATGAGAACTTCTCACTGAGAAGTTCACCAAAACCAGCGTATTTTCTGCTGTTCTGACAGAATCACCCACAGAATGGCTCAGGACCCTGCAAGGAGGGCTGTCCCGCTGTGCCTGGCACAGCAGCCTATATACGGATACAGAGGGGGTAGGGGAGCAGCTCTGTGATTCAACTCCAAATACCACAAACGTAAACTTTAGGGCAGGATATTCTGCCTGAGTGGCAGCGGGAGGAAGACGATAGGCAAAGTGAAGGCAGTGCCGAGGTGAGCAGCCTGGCTGTCTTCTGACGTGGGCTGATTCAGCACCAGAACAGGTATCGCAGAGGTAACACTAAATGCAACCATCCGCTTTCCACAAGAAATCAAGTACTTTTTTGTACCTGGCAGTCAAAACAACTTTATACTACTGGAGTTTGTCTGCATTCACATACACTTTAGTCCTAGAAACCAAACACTCTGATAGGAAGAGTTGCCTGAGGTCTTCAGCTCAGGACACACACTTTGCTGAATCCAGAGGTGCTGGTGGGAGAAGTTAATCCCTCTTTTTTCCTCCAAGTACCAGACTATCAAAAGCAGTACTGTGTAAAATCTTTCAGTTAGCCCACATGGCTTAAGGACACCCTCATGCAAACACATCTCCAGAAACAGCAACTTCTGGGTAGGAGAGATGGAAAACAGCTGAAGCCAGTAGCCTTTTCCATTGATGGAAAGATTGAAAAGGTGATGCTATGTTCTTACCTGAGAGAAAAATATCAAGCAGAAGTAGAAGACATTGCTAGCCATGCCCACAGCTCCCATTTCTCTTCATGGGCAGACAAGAATGCTTTTCTGTAAAAGTTCAATGCATTAGAGCACACCTATTTGAGAAGGTGTGGATCCTTTGCATCACAACAAAGTGGGTAAGTTTGTATCCTCTGATTTAAGCAACAATGATGCTGGAGGTTTAAGAGTCGGCTAAATCTGGCCCAGAAGCACCAAGTTAGGGCTTCACAAAAAATGGCTACAACTAACTGTTCCTCCCTGTAACCTTGAAATGTTGGGAAAATACAGCAGGACCAGAACAGCAGGCCTAGGAAAAAAATGCACACTCACCAAACATATCATTCTCTAACTCCAGATAGTAAAACTTAGAAAGAACTTAGGCCTTGAAGTCTTCCACAAATGCTAAAGACAGAGTTTTAAATGCAAAAACTACAACCTTGAAGAAAGCGGTTAACAGCAATACAGCAACTCCAATCTTAGTAAGGCCAAAAGACATTTTCAGAACACAAGTGAACCTTTTTAACATGTGGATATCCATTCATTCAATGGCATTTTACACTAAAATGTTCCTCCAATTACAAATACCAAAGAAACACTTTAACTTCTAATAAGTTATAAAGCTTAGTTTTTTGCTTATGAGCTCAAATGTTTTGTTGCGGTCTTTTTGTGTGTGTTTGTTTTGTTGTTTTTGTGGTGGTTGTTTTTTTGTTTGTTTGTTTGTTTGTTTTTAAAAACAGAAACAGGCTCAGTGCAGTCAATATTTCACCAGCCAATGCCATAATCTATCAGAAGCATCAGTGAAAAAAACAACTCCTACTGTAGTTACATCAGCTGTGGGCTCTGACTGACAGCTGCAAGCACAGTTGGCTGCCCCCACTGAAATGTGTTATCTCAAGCAAAAGCTTATGGTTTTTGTTTTGTTTTGTTGTTTGTTTTTTTTTAAGCTAACACAGAAGGCAAAGCATAGCACGTATCACAATGTGACTGAGGTTATGACTGATTCTCACACAGCACTGTTAAAACAAATTTATGCCACTTTGTAACATTCTATAAAAATTTACTAGTTACCATAGCAGAATAATCACTGCAATCTTTCCAATAAATATAGCGCGATGAATTCAGTGAAACCAGAAAAAAATAAAGAACCTTTCAAAACAGCTCCTTAGTTATACCTTGTTTTAAGTGCCCCATTTGTGCATAAGCAGCATGTGATCTCATTTCAATCCCTATCAAGAAAAAAAAACAATCAGAATAAGCTATAAAAGACACAGTACATCAGAATTACATGTAAATAAACATGTACACTTGTATCAAGCTCATTAACAACTTAAAGCACCATTCAGAATTCAGTACCATATATGTTACAGTACATTCCATTTATTATGACAATTTAAGGCTAAAATAGGTACGACTCCCTTATAGTCAAGCTTCCTTATATTTATAAATGCATACAAACATTAAGTAATATAAATGTGGAGGGTTTTTCTTATTGCTCTGAACCGTCTACTATAATGTTGAACTTTCCCAGATATTGTCTCAGTGTTTTTTCAATCAAGTTGAAGTCCTAAAATTGCAACATATGGCACTTATATGGTTATAGACCTTCTTTCATTTCAGTTGTAAATAAATTCAAAAACATATCAGAAAATATTGCCCATCATTGCAAACTCTGTTACATAGTTAACTAAACAATTGTCCATAAGATACATAATTCACCACAAAGATTATTTCTGCAATTCTTCAGGAAGGATTTTCTTTTCAAAACAGTAGGCCTAACCAAGTGGCAAACAAGACAACCAGCAAGAAATAATTGACTACTTCCAGTCTAAAAGACTGGGCTTTAAAAAAAAACAAAAAAGCTGAATATGTGCTCCAAAACAAAGAGCAAACTTTCTTCTTGCTCATAGAGCAATTATGTTTCCTAATTATGAAGGGTAATGCCTCATTCTGCCAGTGCCAAGTTCTTTGACTGTAGCTTGTCCATTTCTTGTCCAATATTTCCTTCAATAGTATCACACTGGGCAAGAAAAGCCTGAAAATAATAATTAAAAAAAAAAAGTGTTACAGAGGATGTAATTACAGCAATGGTAGACTGCTTCTTAAGAACAGAAACTAAAGTTTCCGTCATAAATATGAAGATGCCAATTCAGTGACCACCTTCTGGTGGTCAGTTTTCATTTTTTACTTTTAATAATTCCATTTACTCAGAATCTAGCAGAAACACAGGGCTTGATAAAGAAACCTCACTGGTCCAACCACTGAGCTATTTGAGTTAAAGTTCATAATCAACAGTAAGAATCACAAAGCTTCAGACGGGTTTGCACTTTTAAAATCCTTCCTAAAATACATAGCCACAGTTCTGTAGCCACAGTTGGGAGGGACGATCACTCTCAGTCAAAAGCTAAAGTAAGTTGTCATTAAATCAAAGATGAATCTATTTCTCAAGACTCCAAGTCAACATGAACCCCCATCTTCACTGATACACAAGTGTCCAGCAGTAATAAAGAAGAAGGAGGGGATAAAAGAAAAAGAAAGAAAACTCACCTGAACCCTTTTCACCAATCCCTTCTTTTTCAGTCTGCAGTCATTGAAGTTCTCTGGCAGATTCTGCAATAAAATAAACAAGCTGATGTACTTAATGTTGAAGCTAACATATTAGACATACTGCAAAGACTGTATGTATTTAAAGATCTGAATCCTCTCAACAGGCATCTTGAAAACACCATGCCTGCACAGTGAAGATAATTACACAAGGACTTAAAAATCATGAATTCAGAAAACGAGGGATACAGAATGCTGACTGTAAACAGCTGAGCTAGCAAATCTACCACATCTTCAGGTAACATAAAGCAGTAATTACAGAATCAGAATGGCCAGGGTTGGAAGGGACCTCAAGGATCATGAATCCCCAAACCCCCTGCCACCCACCTCCCCATTTCATACTAGACCAGGCTGCCCAGGGCCCCATCCAACCTGGCCTTGAACACCTCCAGGGACGGGGCATCCACAACCTCTCTGGGCAGCCTGTTCCAGCACCTCACCACTCTCTCTGTAAAGAATTTCCCTCCTGACATCCAACCTAAATCTTCTCTCCCTCAACTTAAAACCATTTCCCCTTGTCCTGCAGTTGTCAACCCTTTCAAAGAGTTGATTCCCCTCCTGTTTGTAGGCTCCCTTTAGCTACTGAAAGGCTGCAATGAGGTCACCCTGCAGCCTTCTTTTCTCCAGGCTGAACAAGCCTGCCTTTGTAGGGGAGGTGCTCCAGTCCCCTGATCATCTTTGTGGCTCTCCTCTGGACCCTCTCCAACAGCTCTCTGTCTTTCTTGTATATACACCGCTTCCGTCTACTCTGGCACATGTTAACTCCTGCTGAGCATCAAATTCATTTTGTTTACAGACTATTAAAATGGATTAATTTCTTACAAACACATTAACTCAATCACTTGCTAGAATTAGAACACGTCACCAGTAACACAGGCATTGGCAGTCTGCTTAACTGCATGTCTGCTATTCTCTGCAATTTATTCATGGAAGGTAGCAGATGTGAAGTGTTACGTGCTGACAGCTCTTAATTTAATTCAAACTGCATCACTTTCCACACTCCTTCCACCCAGCATGCTCATGTAACATCAGCTCAGCAATTGTTAGGTGCTTGGTTGTTTTGTTAAACTGTTTTGGTAAATTGGGGTGTTGGTGCAAAAAGCACTCAGGTTTATGCTGTTGGTTTTTTATTCAAACAAGTAGAACATCCATACAGATTATTCTTATCAAACTTGCATGAACATTCTTAGAAATATAATGCTCTTATTCAAGAAGCACCTTTGAAAGTAAGTTATCAGGTTAAGTCCAGGATAGTCTCTTACAGTCATTCAAAATGTAAATTCTCCTACAGGAGCCTGTTCTGCCTACAATCCTTTCTTCATATGTTCTGTCATCTTATATCCTTCAGAATTACAGCATGAAATGGTTTCAGAAATTGTTGTCACATTTTCAACAATAGTTACAATAGCCTAAAATGAGAATTTTTGAAAGCACAATGCTTTCACACTATTCATTTTACAAGCTAAACTGCTCTTTACAACTCTATTTTCTAGCACTGTGTACTATAGTTAAGACTTTGTTCACTGCAGCACATTAAATCTCCTCCCAATAAGCAGGACATTGTGAAAAGATCCTGTAAGATGTTTTCTTTCAGAAACTGAATGCTCCTGAGACATTTCAAAACATTTGAAAAGGTTAGTTTAATGCTGTGTGTGACTACTCTTCAAACACTAGTTCTAATTCATAAACAATAATGAAGGCCTTTGGAGTATTTAGAGCTTTCACAGAGGAAAACAAAGATTAAAAATATTACAAGGTTATATGAGACATCGTAAGAGATCTTAGAAATGACACCCCGTAACCACACAAAAAATCCTATTTTCTGTTTGTTTTCAACAACACAATTCACTTTTATGATGATGAAACAATCACAAGAAACAGCATAAAGAACATAGTTGATGCACACTACCTTAATCCTGTCCCACAGGCTATTTTCAGGATACTACCAAAACTACCACACATCACCGATGCTGATCAGTTGTAAACAAGGATTTTTGCTGACACCCTATGTAACATCACTTTCGGTGTCGTCGTTTTTCTTAGTTTCTTTCAGAACTCCAAAACAATGTATTTCAGTATTTTAGTGCATAGCTTGTTGGTTTGTTTGAATTGAGTACCAGTCCTTCCGTTTTTAAATTTAAAATTAAACAGATCAGTACATTGGGTAAGCACAATTTGTTAACTCTGAAGCTTTCTCATCTAAGTAAACAGCAGCTTCTTTAAAACAAGCCATTAAATGGCAGCTTGCTTTATTTGTGAATGCACAAATGGTAACAAGGTAGCTCTGCTTTCACTGAAGAGATGACAGTATTTTTATGCTTCTTATGCTTCAGAAAAAAATTTCTCCCAAGGCTTTGATTTCAGGCTTATGATTCATACTACAAGATTTAAGAATTACTATTATGAAAAGCTTATCCAATATTCATTTACCCAAATATATTCAAAGATTTAGTAATAAATTCTCATCATTCCCAGTGTAAGTGACAGAACTTCACAGAAGCCAGCAAATTGCATGTTAACAGCACAATTATATTAGTTGTGGAGTATTTCCTTCTTTCAATCTTTGAAATGTCAATTTAGTATTAGCAGGAACGAGGAGACTGCAAAAAGCTTCATCAGAACAGAATGGTAATTTAAGTAAGGCTTACAGAGGAATTATAACTCAAATAATCCTCAAGGAGCATGAGCCACCAGAACGTAGCTATGAGTGTCTTGCATTTCAGAATAGGTTTTTTTCACTTGTATGAACACTGTTTCTCTGCAGTGTTCTGGATTCCACATCTGTCATTAATGAACACATCATCATGATAACAAAGTAATCTCATCTCTCAGACTGCAATATTGATGTCAGACTTCATGTAAATTAAAGGAGGATCATAAGAAGTAAGTAGTGTCATGTCTGCCATTTCAAATTTCCCTAATAATCTCAGAAAAGCTTTTATTCATGAAGAAACTTTTCAGTTTTGGGTGGGTTTTTTTTTTTTTTTTTTTTTTTTTTTTTTTTTTTTTTTTTTTAACTGTGGTCAAGTCAAACATTTTCTGTGTTCCCTTGAGATCTTTAATTAGCAGCGTGATTTGATTTTTACTCCTTGACCAGATGCTCCAGTTGCTAAAATAAATGCATTTCTGGTGATGCAAAGAGACAAACCAAGTGCTGAACAAGACCAAACTAGTGTTCCTCCTGAATAATAATAAAATCCTTCAAACATCTGCAGCTTATGGAAAGGCCCAATCTGTTAGACATTCACAGGATCCCTCCACCCCTCTTACTGTAGAAGCAGTAGCCATTTTAAACAAACATTAAAACGTGTAAGTTACACCTACTGTACCCAAAAGCTTCAAGACTGAGCTACTTCAAGGCTATGTTTTCACACTTTTGGCAGTGACACCATATTTTAGTCCCACTCCAGTACTGTACAACAACCCAACTACTTCTGACATTTCTTAGCTGAGCACACCTTTCAAATTCACAATCTGTACAGACATGGACCCTAGTAAAAAGGTGCCAAACTCAGCTCCCCTAATTAATGAGTTTGCCTGCTGACAGTAAGATAACACTTTTAGAACAGATAAAAATAAAATGCTTGCTTTCTCATCCTTGGCTCTCTGTAACCACGCAAACTTCATTTTGTATCAAGCTCCATGTTTCTGATCAATGCAAAGGACGTATGACAGACACCTCAAAAAGCTTTCCCAACAATTCTGCCAAATAAACAAACCGAAACATTTACAGTGTGAGCAGCTGATTTGTTTGCTTTCCACAAAGCACTGATGCTTCTGTGTCATTAGAAAATAGCTCAGTCTCTGCTAAAAAAACAGCCATGCTGACTGAATCTCCAGCACACCTATATCATGAATAATACTCGAGACACTTGCCAGGATTTGCTTTTTTCTTGATTAACAAAAGGAATATTAAATACTGTATAAACCAACTATAAAACATAGACAAAACTCCTAGTTGTAGACAAACTACTTTCCAAAATATTTACATTCTTCTGCTTTTTTTTTTTTTTTTTTTTTTAACCTTAGTAGAGTCCATTTACTGCTCACACATACCTCACCACCATTCCGTGCTGCTACCTCTGTATGTTGCACAGCTACAGTAAGTCTAAGAGATCTTCCATAAAGTTGGTGGTCTGTTCATCTGACCTGGTCTAGTATCAGTACACTGAATGGCTGCAAGATTCCATTCAACTACACATATCTACAAGATTGCATAGAAATTTCTCAGAAGTTTCCACGATTTCCACAAGAGACAAAACTGAGCCACAGGGACTCCATTATTCCCTAAAGATGGTTATAAGACTTCCAAAATCTTGTACTAAACCTGGAAGTCCCCTGACCAGTACTAGAAAGAATATGAGTAGATAGATAATCACACTGTTATCATAAAGTTTACTAGTAAAGTTTGCCAAGACAAGCTAAAAGAGTAGAACTTGAATGAAAGATACCCATTTCATGTCACCTCAACAGGCTGCCTCAAAAGAAGGTTTTCTGTAGAATGGGGATGGATACATAGGAATTAAGGCCACCACTTACAAATAGATGTTGCCAAGAAGTCTTATGGACACATACAGGAGCAAGAGCTGGTTATCAAAGAAAAGAATTGCAAGCCAATTAACTATTTTTGAAAGCCAAAATGAATTAGTTCATATTTTAAAATATCAAATAATTTACAAGAAAGATGCACTCTTAAAATTCTGTTTGGTTTTGATTCTTTTCTGTGGTCATTTACTTACAATGGCATCAACCTGTTCCAGGATCTTCATGAACTGCTCTGCAGTTCCTTTTATCCTCTTGTCCAGCTGTTTTAGAGCTTCTGCTTGGAGATCCTTTGCTAAAAATCCCTGATAAAGAAAAAAAGGGAAAAAAATCATTCCACACCTTACAGAATGCTCAGCCTCGAAAAATCTGTTGACACAACACAGCAAAAAACATATTTTATTGTAGTTTCAGGTACAAAAGGAACTCCCATCTCAATCTGTACTCTATCAATGTATAAAATCAACCAGTAAAATCTGTAATATTTCCTTTTAGGTTAAACAAAACTCGAAGTAACAGGCATTTTTCTTTGAACTATAAAAGAAATGTTCCATTTTTCAAGACCTACAAATAACATTTATTCAATAAGATACAATATTTACCTTTTTCCAAACACTGCTATATACCTCTCCATTTCAGAAACTCAAAAATGACATTTGGAATTCAGCAAAAAAATATCTATTTTCTCCAAGGACAGCTAAGTGGAGCAGCCTATTACTGACTACTCAAAAACTTAAGCAAGCTTTTTTTTGTTTTTGTTGTTATCATTTTGTTGGTTTTTTGTTTTGTTTTGTTTTTTTTAAGTATATACCTGTAAAACAATTTTACAAAGACAGAAAAGGACACAAAGCTGGCATACCTTCTGGATACTTGTGAACTCTTTATTAATTTCCTCTAACTTGTTAGCTATTTGCTCCACTGACTTCTCCAGATCTTTTAACTTCTTTAATTCAGCTTCTTCTTCTGGACTATTCTGTGTATTCAAAAGTATAATATTCACAACTATGGAACAAATAGAATCACTAGGCAGCTAAAGAGCAGCAACAACAGTGGTAAGAGACACAAAGGTTTTTGTTGACTTAAAATATACACTGCACTGTGGCTATCCTTTCCATAATTTAGCACCTATCATATAAGCTTCTCCCAAAACTTGATAACAGATACAGTAAATGTGGCGACATATATAAACACATTTAATGATACAAATTTGAAGGGAAGACGTAAAGCACAAGCAATTTTTCTGCTGCAGATTTTTCAGCATCTTGTAAATAGAAGTAACTTACAGATCAGGTGATATTACCTCATACTTTACTTGATAAAGCTACTCACAGATCTTTTTGCTGGAAACAATCCAGCAAATTCAGTACCAACAGTTGTTTTTTTTTTCCCATCAGAAAAATGAAATGGGCAGAAGTGGACCTCCCAGTGGATGGGAGGTTCATGAGCAGTGACAAAGATCAAACTCAGCACAAGCCTGCCAATAATGCAATTTCAGAAACATACTGCAGCATTATTTGCAGTACAACGGAAGACTGAACTCAGGTTTGTGAGTAGGTAAACAAGATTACTTTTATGCTGTAACCAGTATCTGTTCAGGAGCTGAACCATTAACAGAAATTAGGATGACGTATGGAAAAAAAAAAAAAAAAAAAAAAGCAATTCTGAAAGTAACACTAACCCTTTTCCCAATCAACATGACTTTGCAACCATTTTTAACACCAAGTGCTGACAATGGCTGTTCCAATTCTTTCAGAGATTTCCCTAAATGGAAAGGAAGGGAGGGGGAAAAAAAACAGTCAAAACATTACTAATTGTAGTTAGTGCCATACAAACATCTTTTTAAAGACATTCAAAACAAGGACACCTGCAAGTGACTAAGATGAAACCTACTGTTTCTTATAAAAACCAACAGATTTATAAATTACCTTTGTATATAAGTTTCTGAAAAGAAACTGGAACACCAGTGACTTGTTCTATAAGCACAGCCATGTCTTGCAGCGTAGGCTCACCATCTTCCTGTTGAGAAGCAACCTGAATATTGTGTTTTTCATTACCTAATAAAATAAATAAAATAATATAATGGGTAAAATAAGTGATACTTACTATCGAGAAAATATCACAGGAAAACAGTTTCTAATATGTATTTCCCATAATGTAGAAAATTCTCTAATCAGTGGTTCCTACACATAATTTTAATCTTAAATGAAAGTATTCTTAGAATCATAGAAATCACCTGGGTTGAAAAGATCTTTGAGATCATCAAGTCCAACCATCAACCTGACCTACCAAGTCCCATCACTAAGCCATGTCTCTCAGTGCCATAACTACTGCTGTTCTGTTGAACTCCTTCCTCTTAAAGTGACTCACCTCAGCTGAAAACTTTCTCATACTTTCTAATAACCTGAAGAATTGAATTGGAAGTATTCTATTGGCACAGTGGTCCTTCTCCATACCATTTCCCATCTAATTTTAAACAGTGCACGTGGTCTAAATGTCCCACAGGTTAAAGCACAAAAGCCCACACCTTCTTCACCTCTTTAATGCCCTACTTCTAGGCAACTTCTGACGTTGTAAATCCCGGGGAACCAGAGATGATTTATCACTTCCTTTGCTCCCTAGTCTTTACAAAAGGCAAGCAATCCCTACGCTGTCTCCTCTCCATCTGAAAGAATTCTCACAGTCCAAAGATTATTTTTGCCCGTAATACCATTGCTACGCAGCCTTAGCCACCTTGCGAAATCTCATCCTATACGTCACCTCTCGCTAGCGGCACATCCTACGCTCCCTAAATTACTTGCACACAAACAGCGGGAAGATCTCAGAGGAAAAAAAAAAAAAAAAAAAAAAAAAAACCACAAGGAAGATGTCTATTAATCTCTGCATCACAACAGAAACCTTTCCACAACCCTCTGCTCCCACACATTCAAGGTCAGTCAATTTGAAAGTACCCACAGGAATCAGCCACCATTGGGTGCGGGGGAAATTAAAACGGAAATTAAATTTACAGGAAAAGAAAGCTCCAGAACAAACACTAGAAAGAAAACTATTCTTATGACACTAACTTGAAGTACATTAATCTTCTGCAAAGAAGGGCATTAAAAATACTAATTTTAAAGTGCTCCAGCCTACCAAGGGTCACACATAAAGCTACACTGGGGAATAAAAACTTGCAAACGCCTCTAATAGTATTTTTAAACTCCAAAATGGTTTTAAGCTCAAAAATCACAGTAAGATACTCTGAAATATTTTCCATAGACAGACCTTCTTCCCTGTTTGTTTGGAGGAAAAACATATGAACAAAGAAAGCCAACAACACATCAATAAACGGAACTTTTCAGTCCTGATCTTGTTGCGTTTCAGAAGATTGCTGTGAAACAAGCAGCTTCCTTGTGTAAAAGGCTGTGACTATCAGCATTTGAGGAAAAATAAAAAACAGAAACGAGGAAGAGAACAGCTGAAGTTCACCTTGCAACAGAAACACTTTGAAAAATAAATCATGAAAACTACTTTGGACAGACCGCAAGAAAAACTCTACCATCTACCATCTACCACACAAGAATGAAATCAACATGGGTTAGAAATGGTTATCACAGCTTATAAGTAAACAATGATACCAATTTAAAAGAACTAAGGCATGTTTCCAAGATCTTTACGCTTCAATCCAGTATCTTCTACTGGTGAAGTGATACACATGGTTGTGCTGTTGTTTTCTTTCTTACTCCTTAATTCCACCTCTCCCTATACTCACTCACAACGTTAATACAAAAACTGCCAGAAGCTGCAGTTGCAGATAAAGGATGCTTTCTATTAACTAATAACTAAATAATTACCAGATAACAACTGGAAAGATAAAAATATTCTCTCACCTTTTTCTTTGCAATATCGTATCTCCCTAACCTGAAATCCATACACTCATTCCATCAAACACAGTGGATATCAGGGGGAAGTTCTTTACACAGAGAGTGGTGAGATGCTGGAATAGGCTGCCCAGAGAGGCAGTGGATGCCCCATCCCTGGAGGTATTGAAGACCGGGTTGGATGGAGCTCTGGGCAGCCTGGTCTATACCAGATCTGGAGGTTGGGAGCCCTGCCACAGGAACTCGATGATCCTTGTAGTCCCTTCCAAGCCATTCTATGAGAGCCCATCAGGTAGCACTGCATTTACTATACAGCACCGACTTCAGCTCTGACAAATACTATTTAGAGGGAGACTGCTACTAGAAGAGATCCTCGCTCCACGCCCTCTGACAAGGGCAGCCGTGCCACCTGCAGCAAGCCGCAGTAGCACTCGGCCATTCCCTCCCTCCTGCAGGCCTCGGAGTCCCCCACCACAGCCCGCAGCCGCTCTGGGCCGCCCCCATCCCGCCCAGCCGGTCGGCTGCTAACGATAGAAGCAAGACACGCACACCCCACACCCACCATCCCCGGGCGACTCTTACTGTACGTGACGGTAACAGTAACGGGGGCTCCGGGAACCGCCATCTCGCACCGCCACAGAGCAGTCGTCGGCGGGCACCGGCCCAGTCGCACCAATATTGCGTCACTTCCGCCCGAGGCCCCGCTCTCAACACCGTCTAGCTGACGAGTGACGTCACTTCCGGGAGTACGCAGTGAGAGGCAGGCTCTCACTCCGCCATGTTGCCCGGCGGTGGAGGCTGTGCGTGGTGGGAGAGCAGCCCTGCTGTAACCTGCGCGCAGGAATGCGGCATTCCCGGCTTACGACTGCAGCTCCACGCTGCTCTGTAAAAAGCACCTGTTGCTGGCCAGAGCTGACTCTGTACGGATGTTTGTGCACCCAAGCGTGGCTTTACAAATTAGCTTTTCTATCAAATCAAGGTTTAGCTCACGGTGTGAGAACTCATCTTCAGCGTTACAGCAGTCTCATGCTCACAACTGGTGAGCTAATGGGAGAAAGAAGTTTTTATGTGATTATTAATTGCTAGGAGACTAATTCATAAAATGATAGAATAGCCTGAGTTGGAAGGCACCAATAAGGATCATTGAGTCCAACTCCTGTCTCCACACAGGACTACCCAAAAATCTGACCATAATTAGTTGCTGAGTAACTCCTGTCAGGAGGAGAACCATGGCAAAAGCAAGCCTTGTGTGAGTGCAGCCTTGCTAAAGCACTGGGTGCTTTTGGGGCTGGAGCCAGCCTCCATCACTGTCAGGGCTGAGCTCAAGCAGCATACAGCAAAGAGAACAGGACAGGCTAAGACCATTACTACAAATACCACACAATAGACTCAGCTAATCTAAGTGATTTTATGTCTAAGTTCAATACATAATGACAACCCTATTTGACACAGCTTTCAAGGTTACGAGTACAATAGCATAAAAGTCTCCAAACTGAAGTAGTTTAAAAATGTTTTTGACTCTTTTTATCAAATAAGTATAGTAATAAGGAAGATATTTTACAGAGAAAAAGCAGCAACGTACAATCTTAGTTTCAAGAAAGAGAAACAATACAAAAATCAAAGCAAACCTCCACTATAAACAGCCACCACTATTCTTTACATATTATTTTGTCCATAAGACACAAGAAATCAAAAACTTTTAGACTGTTTGCTTCCACTGAAGGAAACTGTGCCACATTTTTCCATTAATAGAAAAGTCAGTAGTAGAACAACTTTCTTCAAAGAAAGACCATCACCAGCCATATTGCATTCTAGGATGTAGTGATATTAAGGTTGCACTGGAAGGACAAGTTCTCCAGGATTTACCAAAAAAGAAAAAAAAAAAAAGTCTTGATTTCTAAAGTGGAGTTCATTATATACATTGTGCTTTTGAAACATTTACGTTGCAGGAATCTTTGGCAATCCAAATTCATCCACCAATACACCATCCTGTATGAAAAAAAGAAATCTCAATGAGATCTCCACCCGTCACAATATATTGCGTAAGTTCATATGTTTTATAAAGCAGTATATCTCTAGTTGTCATGGTGACATCATTGGAATCAAAATAAAAGCATTCTCAGTAGTAAGCTACAGTAAGCCCCAAAAACAGAAGAAAACATTTTGTCTATTTATTTATAAGAATAATTACACTAAGAGCTGTAGTGGTACCTTTAAATTTTACCTGTGGTGTTATCAGATAGCACTTAGAAAATGATGTTTTAGCTCTTTGAAGTATAAAAAAATATATATATGCAGCATCCAAATCACACAAGACATGAAGTATCGTTTTTGTCCAAAATATTGGAGTCAAAAATCAAGCCACCCACATAAATTCCATTAAGTATAACAACAACAAAAAAGTAATTGGCTTCAAGGAGGAAAGGACTCACTTTGTTTTTTGTATCAACAGGTGTGCCCTCTGGAATTGCTGGGGCAGAAGCAGCTTCATCTAAGTAGGAGTTGTCTTCATCAGCTAAAAGCTCATCACCTAACGCATCCAGTTCTGAAATTTAATTATTTTGGTTGAAAAATCAGGTAAGAAAATCCTTTTGCAAAACGGAAAAATTAAAGAGAAACACAATTCATACTGAATGCTTCAATTTATCCTGATGTTCCTTATTTAGCTGCTAATCAGGGATACACAAAGACTTGCTCACACTCAAAGACAACATTCTGTTTTTCACTGTAGCATCCTATCAGTACCCCTTTCAGGTCTGCCCATTTATTATTGCTCTTACAGTAAATGTAGCTTTTATGCTGGAGTGGAGTTTTTTGTGGTTCTATTTTCTAAAGACTTTTCAGTATTTGGGTAGTGAAATTAAAATGTCACTTCCCCCTCCACCTTCCTCACCTGCTTCCAAATCATCTTCATCAATCTCTGGTGTTCCATAGCTACGACTCAGTGCTTCCTGGACTTCATTGGCTTCTTCCATCATATCCTCCAACTGATCTTGTATGTCCTGGAGCAGCAAATAATTTCAACAGTCCACATGCAATGGTTTCAGTTAAATTAGTTGGAGCTTAATCAATTGTTTAATAGTTCTAGCATACAAAATAATTATTTTTACTTCTTAAATCAGTTTTTGAAGCAGTGTCAATAAAAGTCAAGAGACACACATTCAATACTATTTGATTACTATTAAAATTATAGTAAATAATATATCAGGCAGAAAGAGGAACCCTGCAACTACATCTCCGCAAAACCTTGTTTTTCTGTTTTAATGGGGAGCGTAGGTGGCAATTCATCCACACAAAGTATGACAATTAATATTCTTCAGGGTGAACTGAAAGCCTCTACTACGTTACCCAAAGCTCAGAGTTATGTTGAAAACCAGGAAACAGTAGATCTAAGGACTAGCCTAAGCTGTGCCACAGCAAAATTGAGGAAATATATCAGCATACCCATGGCATTGTACTTAGGTACAAGTAAGGAACCAATACTTACTAAAGGTTTACAATGTAGGCTATAAATAAAATCAGCATAGGAAAGGGAGCTTAGAGGTATTAAATACTGACATTTGATAAGAGTTTAAGTACAGCATACTTGAAATTATATTTTAAGTTCTTATCTTTCTAAGATGCATTTTCTAAAGGCAGGGCTAGGTCACACAGATCATTTTGAAGTGTTTTTTTTTTTAAGCTTGGCACTGGCATGAGGGAGGGGGAGCAAAGGACTAATCTGCATGTAAGAGCAGCAACATAAGGAGAAAAAAGGAGGCCAAAGAAGCTACAGCAGGAAGTATCACCAATATTTATGCTGAAGTGCTAAGGAAAAGAAAGGAGATTACAGGTGAACTCAGCATGGAAACAACAATCAGTAGAAGGACGACAACTGCAGTACCAGAGCAATAAGGAAGGAATTAAGATGGCAGTCCAATGAAAAATAAATATATTATTATTTCAGTGCACCATTTCTATTCTTTAATAATTTAACTATAGTAAGCTTACCTCAATTTGATCAATTTTCACTTGCTTGTAAGCTTTCTTCATTTCTTTCACTCCCAGTTTCATTGCATCAACCTAGAATGATCAAATAATATGCTTGTATCTGATGAAGCAATACACAAAATTAAATAAATGTGAGACTAAGATACTGGTACCGTTGTTTTTGTATCCTTCAGTGCCTGGATGGTGTAATTAGCTTGCTCCATATTAAAAGACTGCTGTGCTAGATTATCCCGCTGTTGTTCATACCTGTTAAAAATGATGCAAATAACAGTGCTGAAACACCTCTATTTATTGCCACAAAAAAAAAAAAAAAAACCATTCTGAAGAAGTTAATAAAGCTGCTTCTGAATTAAGCTTCTGTTTTAACTGATGGTATTGGTGAGGTTATCATGAAAATCTGAATCACTGTAGGATGGAGATGAACACCATGGCTTACTAATGGAAGAGATGCAGGTTGTCCAATCCACAAAGGCTCTGCACTGAAGTTTTGTTGGGGCAGAGAGGAGAGGTGGGAATAGAGCGGAAAAAGGAAACTTACCTCTAACCCCCTTCCCCCCCAAAAAAAAATTTTAAAGCAAATAATAGTTCTTCTCAAGGCTAAAGTACTACCTAATCAAGAATGTAAAGCAGGCCAGGTTAAACATAAAGACTTGCTATTCAGGGCAATAATATATTCCAGTGAAGAACCCCTGTACACAGACCACACACAGTTCCAACATTCTCCCCCATCTTCCAACACTTTCCAAGACAATATACTAGTCCGGGCTGGACCATAGGATTGCCTACTACACTCATGTGTGGTTTTTTTGCATAGATACAATTACATGAGCTAAATTTGCTGAAATCCTAAAGGGTATCCACACAGAACAGAAAAATTTTCAGTTAACCAAAGCAAGATCAGAAAGTACACGATTTAGAGTAATCAGTGATATAAAAATAGGCTTTATCTCTTTTAGAAAGTTCACAAGCCAAGCACGTCTTCAGTGATTAGCAGGTGTAGGTCAGCTTATCCCAGTCCAAATTTATATGTTAACATACAAATTAGGCACAGCTATGCTGACAGAAAATCTGTAATATGGTTTTGAAGGGCTGACTAGCTTGCTCAGCATTTCTCTTTTGAGGATGCTCAGAAGCAACAGTATTGAAAAGAAAAATGGAAGTACGCCACTCTCCTTTAACAAACCAGCCTTTAGTGATGCCAAATGAAAACTTACATTCGCTTCTGCTTTAACACTCTCAATGCTTTCTGTTTCACTGTATTCTGAAAGACAGAATATCCACATATTAGGCAAAGCATTTTACTTTACTTTGCATTATACTGTTAAGCCTAATACATTCAATTTAAATTTTCTGAGAGTCCCCAGTGACTAATGTACAGTTTAGCAGTAGTCACTTTTAGAGCACAACCCTGCATCAATGATCAACAAAGCAGGCTTGTATGCAATGCTTCTAGTATCTTTCCTATTTTCAGGCTTTCCTACTTTCCTTATGTCAGGCTTTTGATTTTTTTTCCAGAAGTAGAATATGAAGTCAGACTTAAATAACAGAACTTTTATCTTTATAAACATATCTTAACAGTTGGCATCAAATAATACTGCAAAATAGTACTTTATCAATACCACTTATACTGGATATGTTTATTACTAAATAAACATTTGATACGTTTATCATTAGA